AGTTCATAGGAGTGCTTATATTGATATTCTGACATCTTGTTTTCTGTCAAAGCATTTATTGGTAGGTTTGCAAATGTGTATCAGACTGAGCAATCTCTCCATGAGTTGGTTTTGAAACCCAGTATGATATTCTGAGATACATTACCAAGGATATTATTACAAGATAAATCATTTGCTTCATTGAACACATACAACAATGCATATTTCCACTGAGATCAGTGACCTTTGATGTGTATCACCAGTGATCAGTCAAGTAGAAACAGTCAAAATATTTTATCAGATTTTCTCAATTTTTGCATGATATTTTCATACAGGACATCTGTTATTCAAACTCAGGGAAGACTTTATACTGATGAATAAGGTGACCAAGTTTGATGAAGTTTGGAATAGAATTAGAAAAGTTATTATGCACACAATAACAATTATTAACGACGACGACGACAACAACGACAACGCCGGACAAAATTTTTCCCTTAATATACCTTACCCTTCTATCTTTGATGGTACAGGCAAGGTAAAAAACAGCTGTGTTCATACAATTGCTTCACAAGACATCACAATCAACCAACATAACTAATCACATTTATGTTAGAGCACATGGCATAGCTACCATTTGCAAATAAGACTGGTTTATGCACAATCAGCTAATCTGGGATAGATTCTCTTTGAAGTGATCGCATATAACATTGTCTACTTACATAGTTTTTGTAGAGCTTATTTGCCAAATCTCTTTGGGATTTACTGTATTTAGCAACTTCATCTAAATTAGCCTGATTGGCATAGTAATCAGCAATATCCTCAGCAACAACTGCTTGTGAAGAAGTAGATTCCTAAATGAGAGGAAATTATACACATTATGCATGTATCTATGTAAACATGCAATTCTAGCAAAATAGACAGAGCAGTGTATTGAAATGTGAAACGAGGATAGCACAGTATGACAGGGCTCTCTTAAAGTCTCATTCATTGGACAATGATTGTCAGCTGATGACTCTGGTCTTCCAATGATCTGATCGATGGTAGGGTCATTTGTTCATGGCTTTGTAAATCCCACTATACTACTGGTAAGCTAATTACAAAATGGAATCTGCTGTGACAGAAAGACTACTTACTTGTAACTTCTCTAGATAGGAATTCACATCCTTTACAAATATTTTAATTGTCTTCTCTAAATCCCTGAATTTTCTCTCTTCTTCATTAAATTTCTCATCAACAGTCTGTGAGGAGAGAATAACAAATCAAATTTCTCATCAACAGTTAGTTGGTAAGGAATAACAAATCAACATTTTAGTGATGATTTTGAAAAATATTAAGTTGGTCTGAAACAAAAAAGTCACTGTCCACACATCAATATGTAGTTTGGCTATACCTGTATGATTAATAGAATGTTTGAGTGAAAGTGGATACAAAATTATAACATAACCTTCTAAAAGTGCTGCAGTAGTTTGCACTGTTCAATTTTCTGAATCTGCAAACTGCTGTGTTTTGGTATTTGTTCTCAGTCGACTGTGGAATGCCAGCTAGAACACACCAAGTAAACAGTGATCATAAAGTAGTAATAACATTGAAACACACCGCAATCAAATTTTTACTGTGTGTAGATAGCGATAAAAAATAAAAATATTTTCTATATTTGACTTGTCATTGAATACGCTGTCATATTTTACTGTAGGATTAAAGGGACCATACGTTTGATGTATGATAATTGCTGATATCACAGTAATAGAAAAACAAAATGGTTTACCTGTGTGACTAAACCTGTCATCTGTGTCAGTCTTTGGTTCATCCTCTGAGATTTTTTGCGTATGGAATGTAAACTTAATTTACCAAGTTTATTTGAAATCGAGTCTACATCTGATTTCCTATATTTCATCACTTCAGAAGAAGAAGAAGAAATAAACAAGCATGAAATAAAGACAAAGGAATTGACTATCAGAACTCTGAAATTTTTTCTCTGTAGATTTTTTCTCTTGATTTATTATTTTCCCCTAAAGTTTCCAATGCTTCAATGCTTTAAAGGCGAATTAGAATCAAGATCCAAATTTCAATGCAAGTGGTGACCACTAAAATCAGGAAAAGTCAAATTTATGGTTATTAGCTAACTAAGATTACTTTGATATGACATAAACTCTAAGCCATTCTGAATTTGTCAGAGTCAACAATAAAGTCACAGTACAGTTGCAAGAAGATTCAAAAAAGAAGTTTAGGAGAGATGTTAAGGTGCCCTCAATGTTTCTATTTCCAGCTTCAGTGTTTTTATGTTTTTTACAGAAATGAATTTCCCAAAACTAAACCAGAAGTATAACAAACTTTGAAAATATGGCTTTATCAATTATTTTATAGAACAGCAATTACGAATCCGAACTCAAATTTCACCCACCTAAATCTTTTCTCCTCTTAAATTCATTGATTGCCGTGGCAACATCAGTCATTGTATTTATAGCTACTAGTAAGTTGTGTTTATCTGCATGATCATCTTCTGTCACCTGTGAAGTAGAAAACAATACCAATTACAGAAAGTTATGTAATATTTAGTTTCAGCAAAAAACAAAATTGGAAATTTGATTCATGCACAAGTCACACTCTTTAAATCCCTGTGAAGCAATGATATCATATATATGGGACTCGCCCTAATCATTTCATTTAGTAGCAATGGGTAAGCAGACAACTG